CCTCCGCTCCTTCCCCCGCCTCCGCTCCTCCCCCCGCCTCCGCTCCTTCCCCCGCCTCCGCTCCTCTTTTCCTCCTCCCCCCACCTCCGATCCTCCGCCTACGTCCGCGCCTCCTTCGCTCTTCCCGCCGCCTCCGTTGCTCCCACGGTTGGTATTGATTGACTGATTGATTGATTGATTGATTGATTGATTGATTGATTGATTGATTGATTGATTGATCGATCGATCCACTCCTCCCCCCACCTCCGCTCCGCCCAGACGTCTGTTTGAAGCGATTCCAAAATGGAATCGATTACGTAATCGATTCCGATTTGGAATCGCCTCAAGCATGCACCTGGGCGCAGCGAACTGGCCCATGCAGGTGCGTGTTTGAGGCGATTCCAAAACGAAATCGATTCCGTTTTGGAATCGCTTCAAACAATCATCTAGGCGGAGCAGAGGTGGGGGGAGGAGTGGATCAGTCAATCAATCAATAAACCAATCAATCAATCAATCAATCAATCAATCAATCAATCAATCAATCAATCAATCATTCCATCAATCAATCAATCAATCAATCAATCAATCAATCAATCAATCAATCAATCAATCAATCAATCAATCAAAAATTGATTCATTGATTGATTGCCTGATTGACCTCCTTCGCTCCTCCCCCCGTAATGATTGATTGATTGATTGATTGATTGATTGATTGATTGATTGATCGATTGATTGATTGATTGATTGATTGATTGATTGATTGACCGATTGATTGATTGATTGATTGATTGATTGATTGGCATAGGCGCGCCCAGCCGCCTTGGGGATGCGATTCGAAAATAGAATCGATTACGTAATCGATTTCATTTTGGAATCGCGTCCCTGAGGCGGTTGGGCGTGGCGGACCACACCGACTGGACCTTGCAGCTGGCTCACGGACACGATTCCGAAATGGAATCGATTACGTTATCGATTTCATTTTGGAATTGCGTCCCTGAGGCGGATGGGCGTGGCGGACCACGCTGACTGGACCTTGCAGCTGGCTCACATACGCGATTCCGAAATGAAATGGATTACGTAATCGATTATATTTTGGAATTGCTTCCCCGAGCCAGCTGCAAGGTCCTGTCCGGCGTGGTCCACCACGCCCAACCGCCTTAGAGACGCGATTCCAAAATGAAATCGATTACGTAATCGATTCAATTTTGGAATCGCGTCCCCGAGTCAGCTGCAAGGTCCTGTCCGGCGAGCCCAGCCGCCTCGGGGACGCGATTTCAAAATGGAATCGATTACGTAATCGTTTCCATTTCGGAATAGTGTCGTTGAGGCGGCTGGGCGCGCCTATGTCCTTCAATCAATCAATCAATCAATCAATCAATCAATCAATCAATCAATCAATCAATCAATCGATCAATCAATCAATCAATCAATCAATCGATCAATCAATCAATCAATCAATAAATCGATCAATCAATCAATCGATTGATCAATTGATCGATCGGTCGGTCGATCGATCGATCAATCAATCAATCAATCAATCAATCAATCAATCAATCAATCAATCAATCAATCAATCCCGCCTTCACTTTCCCCCCCCCCCCCCGTCCGCTCCTCCCCCCCCCTTCGCTCCGCCCGAGGGGGGGGGAGCGGAGGCGGGCGGAGGAGCGAATTGGGGGGGAGGAGCGAAGGAGGGATTGATTGATTGATTGATTGACTGACAAACCTGTCTGTGTATATTGTTTTTTTTTCTTTTCTTTTGCTGCTTAGTGGTGTTAGAAAACTGGGCTCTATTGACCAACGATCGAACCGGTCACTCAACCACTCAGTCACGAGAGGAGTCAATCAATAAGTTCAACAATATTAATCGTAATGTTAGCGGACTTATCATCAATCATTTGTAGTTGTCGTTCGTTTTTTCTCATCGGCTGCTTTTTTTTTCTGTTTTTTTTTTACTTTGCTTGGTATTAAAAGGACAAGAACAGAGGCCAAGGACCTCAAAATTTAACCCGGATTGCTGAAAAACAGGTCCAACATCCTATCTTGGGTATCTGACTGGAAAGCATGTCCAGTGTCCTCAGAAGAAGCGATAGAAAAACTGGTTGGAAACCAGGTCCATCGTCCTTTCCAGAAAAAAATACTTCTAGTAATTCTAGCATCTCTGCATATGACGGGAAAAAATCAGGTCCGGCGTCCCTTTTTAGATTCAATGACATAACTTTTTGATAGCCTTATGCGTTCAAGTTCTGCTGCTCAGTGCCCTTACGAGCTCAGAAGGGACCTCATACTTTCTCAGCCTGATGGGCTGCCTGCTGAATCCACAATACCTAGGTATGTAAGTGGGTGGTCCCACAAGAGCTCCGAGTACCAGAGTTTGTCCCTGTCATCGAAGTAGGCCCAAGAGTGTAGAGAAGCCCACTTGGATTGGAAGCGAATCTTGGGAGATTCTGTCGAGCCTGTTTGCTTCTTGATTTGGACCCACTCCGACATGATGTCTAGTCTGATAACATGCTTGTATTTTGCGAAGATAGAGCCCAGGGTGGTGACTTTGTGAGAAAAGATCCGGTCTTTCCTAGTTAGCCAGAGCACCCAAAAGGCTCTCACCCGAAATAACTGTGCTATTTTGAGAGACTGTTTGTCACAAGCCTGTTCTGTTCTACCCGTGAAAACAAATTCCTTCTGCCATATTAGAGATCCTATGTATGCTGGTGACCACATTTGTTGTAATCTGTCCCCAAAACCTCTTGCAATGACATATTTACACCATAGATGCAACGAGTATTCTAACGCAGCTTGTGGGCAGGCTCTGCACAAAGTGTCAACTTCCATGCCCTTTTTCTGAGCAGCACATCACAGTTGGGACACAAGAGTGGAGGTGTAACCACTGTAACCCCCCTGTCTTGGTCTCCAATGCCCCTAGTAGTAGATGAATGAAGAAGGTAACCCATCTAGACTCTATAGTCTTTAAACCACCAGTACCTCCGTCAGTATTAAGAAATTACGATGTCTTAGCCAGTACCCGAACTTTTCGGGGTGGGACACAGGGTCGACAATGTCCCATAAATCTGAATTTTATAGTGATGGAAAAAGGGGGAAAAAAATTGTTTTCTCTACTGCAATGATGTCGGGTTGGGTAGTCCATGAGGCCGTGCTCACAATCTTCCTCCATAGAATGCACCTTACAGGTAAGGCAGTCACATTCTGAATGTTACTATTTTCTTTTTTTTCTTGGTCGCGTGTTTCTTATGAGTCCCCTGTCCGTGAATTGCTCAAGTTGTCCGTGATCTGCTCAAGATGTGTTTTGTTAGAGGATTGTAAGGCTCATCACATTGGCACCTAGGGGAATGTATCCAACCATTTTCACGGTCGGATCCATGTGCCCGTTTTAGAGGAGCCTGAGTACAGGACTTGTCTCTTTGGCATACTTGACAAGTTTCCACGTACAGCTTTGTATCTTTCATCATCGTGGGCCACCAGAACCGCTGCAGCAAGTTGGTTGCGGTCTTCTTGTACCCAAAATGGCCGRTGGCATCATGACACTAGCCTAAAAACAAACTACGCAAAGACTCGCTATTTGGAACACACAAGCGTTTATTCCCTGCCTTCTCTAGGAAGACCAATCCATTGACCAATTCAAACTCGGCGAAGGTCTTCTTATCCTTCGCCTCAAGTTTGCGTATGATCTCAGACATAAACTGGTCCTGACGATAGACTTCCACCAAAGTCTGAGTAACATCGTCCGTCAGATCGAACTCAGTAATCAGTGCACCTGAGAAGTCCGGTCTGCGCGACAAGGCATCAGCAACCTTGTTGTACTCCCCTTTGAGATACTGAGGGTCAAAGTCATATTGCTCAATGACTTCGATCCAATGCTTGAGAGCATCAGAGAGTACCGGTTGTGTTCTCATCCATCGCAGGGTCTGATGATCAGTCCGGAGGATGAAGAACCGCCCAAGGAGATAGTGTCTCCAATGGGTGAGAGCCTTGTACACCGCATAGAGTTCCTTCTCATAAGTGGACTTAGCCAACTTCTGAGACGGCATTTTCTTGGACATGTACTCTACTGGCCTCAACTTTGGCCCCTCCTGCTGCGCAAGCACGACGCCAATGCCATATTGGCTGGCATCCGTTGTRACTATAAAYGGCTTGTCRGGATCAGGAAGTTTCAAGACTTCATAGTGTGTCAGTGCATGCTTCAGATGTCTGAAAGCAGCCTCGCACTTATCTGTCCACTCCCAAGGGGTGTCAAGGCGGGTAAGATCAGTCAAAGGAGTGGCCACTATGCTGTAGTTCTTAACGAAAGTCCTATAGTAGCCTGTCATTCCTAAGAAAGATCTCATCTMAGTCACAGACTGAGGACGTGGCCAATCACGAATGTTGGCCACCTTTGCGTCATCAGGCTTCAATCCCTCCGCAGAAATCTCATGACCCAAGTACACAACACGGGTGCGGCCAAACTCGCACTTCTCACCGTTGATATTGAACTTGTGCTGTCGCAGGAGGCCGAGGACTTTGTCCAGATGTGCCACATGTTCCTCGACAGTCTTACTGAAAATAAGTATGTCATCGAGGTACACGATGACAAACTTATCCAAGTAGTCATGGAATATCCGATTCATAGCGTGCTGAAAGGTGCCAGGAGCATTGCAAAGGCCAAAAGACATCACCACAAATTCGTACAGACCGTACCTGGTCTGAAAAGCGGTTTTGTGTTGATCCTCGGGCCGTATGGCAATCTGATGGTACCCGGACTTCAGATCTATCTTGCTAAAGTACCGACACCCTTGCACTCTATCTAGCAGATCGTCGATGCGCGGTAGGGGCTCTCTGTTCTTGACAGTGATGGCATTGAGGCCCCTATAGTCAATGCACATCCTAAGGGTTCCCTCCTTCTTCTTAGGTACGAATAAAACTAGAGACCCATAAGGAGAGACACTCAGCCAGATCCAGCCCTTCTCTACGAGTTCCATGAGTTGGCGGCGAAGCTCATCAAGCTCGCCTGGAGACATCCGATAGATTCTCCCCCTTGGAATACTAGACCCTGGGATAATCTCTATCGCGTGGACGACCTCCCTCTCAACAACCCCTGTCGGCTCTTCAAATAGATCAGGGTACTTAGCAACTACTCCCTCTATCTCTGGCGGCATTTTCACCGGCTCGCCTGCAGCAGAGACATAAACTAAGTACATACCCTCCTCCTGATTTTGCTTATAATAATTATAGAACGAGGCCGCACACATGCACCCATAGGACTCAATCAGACTACTACCTTTGAACTTATGTAATCTGGCAGACCCTCCACCTGGCAACGTGTGTTTGAACACTTTTCGATCCCAGTCAAACTGGGGCTGTGCTAGAGAGAGGTAGTACATACCTCGTAACATGTCCATTGGGAGCTCGTCACTCACCAGGAACGAGACACGATGTCTCAAGTCCCCTCCCGCGTACGGGAAAACATACTCTACATCATGGAGGTAGTCATTAACTACCATGCGCTGTTTGTTGGCACAGGTCGACTCCACAGGTCGACTCAGGCGCTGCACTTGCCCCTATAAGCGCAGCCTCTCAACGCACGCGCGGCTAATAAAGTTCCTAGTCGAGCAAGTGTCGTAATAGGCCCCGGCCTTGCGGCCTCCTATAACTACCTCACTGACAAACATTTCACTCTTAGGGGCTTTAACTAACGCCGTCCAAGAAGCTCGTGGATCTGATCTAGACCACTCATGCTCTAGCTCCTCTAMGGATTCAARCACATTCATCGAGCAGAGGGTCGATGGGTCTGAATGTGTTTRCGGGATAACTGAAGAGTCTGTAGCTTGGGCCATCTCTCGCGAAGGTGAGGGTGAATCCACCATCGCGAYCCTAGTAGGGACARCTACTATSCCTACTGGCCCGACGTGTTTCCCGGAGCACTGCATGAAGAACTTGCAATGTTGCTACCAACGGGTTGAAAGGATCCTACCGCCGACCCCATAGTGGGCGGGATCTTCTCGGTGACCTTCCTATTGCRGCACTTGTACATGYTATGACCATATTGGCCACACTTGATACAAGYTTGCCGTGCCCACCGATCTCTCCACACGTCCTCAGATAGACCCGCTTTCTCCCATGGAKGAGCATTGRGGTCTGTTTGACTCTTCGACCGGGATCCCCTAGGGCGTCTACCGGTCCCTTTACCTTTTTGCTGRGTTACGGCCCGACTACTCCACCCTCTGAAGTATCGCCACCTGCCTCTGCACCTACTCCCTCCTGGAAGTTGCCGTCCAACTCGATGGTTGAACCATCATTGTCGAYAAACATYAAGCGACCCTTCGCCTTCCARTTGGGAGGCAGTGYCTTCTTTCTCCCTTCCGTAGTGGGTGCCTGTCCATGCCCTATCTTTGCTTCTAGGTCTAGGGCCACCTTGCTAAACGAAGGAAAGTTGTGCATATTGATGTTGGCCTCTTTTGCCAACTGGTTCCTGAGAGGYTGAGAAAAGCATCTCAGGTACGAAGTCAACAGGACCTGAGGATCATAACGTACCCCAGGGACACAGATCAAACGCTCTACAGCGTCGGTGGCTTCCCTTACTRACTTGAACTGCCGCGTGTGCAGTATCAGGATCGCGTCAGTGGCCCTTTGAGCCTCCTGAGGATCATGCCACCTCTCCTCCACCATCTTTAGGAAGTCCTCCAATTTYTGGGAGGCCGCCCAAGYGAGGAAGTCATGACCATAYCCCTGAAGTTGCACTAGACCGCTCAACCATCTTGCTGCACTACCCTCGAGGTAAGACGCARCCACAAACACTTCTTCATGCGGCAAGGAGAGTTTGCACTTGACGTAGACCGKCACAACCCTCAACCATGTGTCGAGGTCCTCGCCTCTCTTATCCCCTGTAAAAGGTTTGGGAGCGGTGATGGCCGTCTTTGGAACCCACTGTGTCTGTCCCGGTCCATGCATCATTCCAGGCTGTGGACCCGGTGAAACAGGTTGCTGTGCTAGCTGCTGGGGCTGTGTGCCCTGAAGCTGCACTGGCTGCGAGACAGCAGGCTGCGTGGTGATTGCAACCTGTGACGGACTTGGAGTAAACACTGTCTGAACAGTAACCTGTAAACTACTCCCTGCTGATACCCCTCCTGACAGTGGCATGCCCAGGGAAACGATAGCAACCGTTGACGGGGCTACATATGGGGATACCCCAGTCACCGGTGGGATAGAGAAGGGAGGATATGGCACGGGCCAGGCACCAGGCCCTGCTGGAGATGGTGCTGCCTGAGCACGGCCTGCCAAAACGGCTAGGCTCTGTTGGATGTCATGGAGGATGGTAGTTTGATGCTCCTGCATTTCTATAACGCCTAGCAGGGCCCTCCTAACTACTCTCACATCATCATCCATAGTGGTCAGGTGCATCCTTTCTAACTCCTCTATGTCTGCCCCTCTTCGTTGCATCCTGATTCTCCTTCTAATCATCATTTCTTTCTCTCTCTTTATCTATCCTAATGCTTGCTGTAACTGTGCCTCTTGCAGGGCTGCCTGCTGGAAGGCGACATCCTCAAAGGACAACACCGCGGGTTGGCTTGCCATTAAGCCAGTGGACTGACTCAAGGTTTGTGCGACCGTGGACCCGGCGGTACCTGAGCTACCGGCTTGAGAAGTCTGTTGCGGAGACGTGCTCCTGGCTATTGTAGCCATGGCTGCTGTAGCACCAGCCTCACCAATTAAGGTTCTGCTGGCCTCGGCTGCTCTAGCTCTCCTCTCCCTCTGCCGGCGGAACAGTTCCCTATCACCCTCCGGGCCTAGGGACACGTGAGTTAACGGGCCTCTGGCAGATCACAAGATCCTGCGGTCGTTCTCTCCGGTGTCCCCTGTGTCGCTCATTAACTACAACAATGTGCAATGTCTACACTAGATCATTCTTGATGCCTACCGCAGCTTAGTGCACAGACCAACTATTTAGTGGTGGCTATTTTTGGAACAAATCTCATTTGGGGTCAACAGGTAAGTCARATTCCTACTCTCAATACTTCTTTTAGTAAGATTAGTTCGCAAACAGAGGAAGCATCAGGAATAAATAATATTWTWAACTAATGYTGTCTGTCAGATGTCACATGACTGTCCATCTAACTAATGAAAAATAAAAATAATGTTGACTGAATGGGTCTGTTCATAGCATGGAATTAAAACCCGAACTTATCACCTGGAACCTACCCTCCCTTTGTTCTTCTCAAAGTCACGGTGTCACGTTTCTTCGCATCAAAAGCCAAGCGTGTCTCAAAGGTGTGCAATCCGGTCCCACCCCTGTGCCCCGGGTTATCGTCGAGCAAGGCAGCCACATCACTCTTATTTACCCTCGTACGCCGACGAGCCTTCCACTCGGATGATCTGGCTGATCAAGAGGCAATTTCACGTCCGCCCCCAAGTGACATCAGGAATTATTTTACGTCGCAGCAGGACGACGATCACAACCAGATCAGAGCCGAGTCCCCAGCCAGAAATGTTTATAGACGGTCTGGTAAGCGTCTGTAGAGGCTGCCACACTCGAGTTAACCCCTATTATGCGCAAGCAGCAGAACAAAGACTTGCAACGAAGCATGCGTGTACTACACCCAGTGGGTTGGCATGGTGACCGTGACCCARTGCTTCGTCCAGGGCCCTTCAAGAAGCTCCGCCCGTCTTCGCCYAGATGCTCCACGTGAACAATCACKACTSTCAAGGTTGAGCRCACACGACACCTCACGATGAGAGGAYTCTCAAGACAAAACTCACAACCTCACGGTARGAAGTGATGAAGAGGGTAGGTAAGGTTGAGAGCAACGTACCTCGTTCATGCTGCCCCCAACCACAGAGATAGTCTCACCAGATGACCTGAAGATGATTGTGATGACCAGTCACAGCATCGGCACAACCAGCATTTCGYCGTTCCACCKCAGCCTCAATCACCCAACAGATAGTTCTCATCACACTGCGAACACCCAATATTTACACCTTAGCCTTCCAGGCGATGCCCCTCACCACCTGGGTCGCCTTCACATTTGTCTCCACCCTCCTCACTACACACCACTTACGACCAAACTCTCCCAGCAGACCGCATGTATGTATCGTATAAGGCAGAAGACAAGCGCCAGATGAGCGCAATTGTACCACAGTTCCGATACCAAATTGCAAGGAAGATGAGCATTAGCGAACTTTCCGATACCAAATTGCAAGGAAGATGAGCATTAGCGAACTTCAACAATCAAACAGCATCATACATATGAGCCCAGATAGTCTTGACCTCGTACCACAGCAGACTTGCATCACGAGATACACCAAATAAGAACACACCAARAGKTYAAAATTGACAATGCTAGTCCCATCATCAACTAAGAACCAGAGTTGATATCCTATTGGCGCTCGGCGCCTAGACTACATGTGGCTGATCCTATCTAGCCTATACTACGAAGCAGAATGATGACATCAACAGCGTTCCCGAAGTATGAGCATATGGCGACCAATGTCGCACGCTTAAGCACCAGTTATGTCTCTCGCAACACTCACAACCCCGATCCACACCGCACAGATGCCACTAGCACCCAAGGACCACCCTGCGCTTCACCTAGCATACAGCAGCGCAGCTTGGCTATGGCTGCGTGCTCCCTCCTACTCGCCCGTGAGAGCGTGAGTGCCAGCCAGCCAGCGGATAGCGCAGCAGCGCTCGTGCAGCATGCAGCCAACACCCGAATGCCGAAATGAGAGGCAGGCCCTTCCCTATATCGAAGTGGCCTGCCTGCGTCCAGTCCAGGAAGCTTCCAGTAGGCCCCGGTAGCCTGAGGCCCAGTCACGAGGAAAGCAGGCCTTGGGCCTGAAGTGGTTGCATGCGACCAACTGCTTTCGGCCTGTGTTCGGCCTGGTACCTGAATCCAGCCCAGGGCCTGTACTTCGTACATTCACACAGGCGGCCCAGGGCCTGGGTTCACTTAACCAACTGGCGCTGCGCAACTGCCTGAATTTTCCCCAATGCGGGGTATCCAGAAAAACGAGGCCCGAAGGGCCTGTCGTGCCTGCCTTCACTTAGGGCGGCCGACCTTGCTGCAAATAGGGGCCCGTAGGGGCTAAGAGGGCGTAGCCTCGCACTTTGGAACAAAGGGCCAAATCTCAACAGATGGATCGCATCAGATTCTTCCGTCTCCTCGTTTTTTTTTTTTTTTTTTTTTTTAATGGTCCGATGCACCACGGATCGTTTACTAACCCCATCACATCTTCTGTCGATCACCCGGGGGAAGTCCCATCATTGCAGCGTTGAGTTTCCTCAACGCCTGAATCTGGTCGTGTTTGTGGAGATGTGCAGAAAATCACGTTTAGTTTCTGCAACCGTACATCTCCACAAATACGTCCAGATTCAGGCGTTGAGAAAAATCAACGCTGCTAGTGGGACCTGGTCCCCGGGGCCATGTCCCACTTCACACCGGTGAGTTGAGCTAGCTCAACGGTGTGACACAGTTATTGCGAACTAATCATTCAAAACTAGTTTAAGAAAAGAAAAATCAAATGCTGCTGAACGCTTTTTTCCATATTTTCGCAAAACTGTTATACCGCCTTCCACGTGGAGCCGCCGGCCGGAGGGTGCTTCAACATTGCGTTGTATTGCATTACATTGGCGCGCACTAACTGAGTGAACTTCAAGGTCGTTAGCTACGGCCCGAGGTTGGGTCTGGAGACTTGCAGTGTCAGTTTTAAGACCAGTTGAGACTTTAGGCTTTCGCCTTCATCTGGCACATGAGTCAAGCCGTCTGCGGCGTCTGGTACATGAGCCATATGTGTGTTTTCAACGTTTTTGACAAATCTAGTGTGAACTGTGCCTTAGTTTTTTTTGAGTCAGTTATAGCATTCGTGGTAGGCGAGGAGTCTTTTTTTTTTTTTTTTTTTTGAGGAGCGTCTGCTAGGCGAATGGGGAAAAAAAGAGAAAAAAAAAAAAAGTCCGAAATAGGAAATGATTTTTTTGACGGGGAGCTGGGACTTCGGGCTGTGTTTGTTACGTGGAAGTTGTATCTTTCACCTCTGGCCATAACCACGATGAGTTCGGTTGGCGGCGGCACGAAACTAGTCGGGTCAGACGCCATGCGACCAAAGTCGTTTTGAGCTTCATGTGTATTCTTCGAGAAGTTGCGTTCGGGATTCATTCAGATTCTTCTTGTCTTTTCAGTCACCCTCTTCTTCGTCTTCTTCTCCTCTCCTTCCTTCTTCTTCTTCCTCCACCCATCTCCTGTCCTAAGTGTGGTTTGTCACTGGTGTTTGGCTTACGAGATTCTCGGTATTCTTCGTGATTGCTACTATTGTAGACATAACCACGCCCAAGTTCGAGTCTGTTGTTGAATACACTTCCCAGGTGCTACCGGTGTCTGCTCTTATCAGCACCACCATCAGCACCACCAGTTTGTCTGCTGTTGAATACAGACCTCTTTTTTTTCTTTTTTTTTTTCCAGACCTCATTTCAAAGATGTTGGCTATGTTCAGTTGTATGGTGGGGGGGGGCTAGGCCCCCTCCCTCCCCCTCCACTCACCCCCTAATGTCAGCTTCGCTGTACTGAGTTTCACGGCATACTCAAACGAGAACTTTGCTGAAGCTTAAGGTCAAGGGCATACTCACACTAGAACTTTGCTGAAGCTTAAGGTCAAGGGCATACTCACACAAACCTACTGTTGAATGCAGACCTGAGTTCATATGCGTTGCTGAAGCTCAAGGGCATACTCACACGTGAACCTACTGAACGCAGACCTGAGTTCAAATGCGTTGGACCAGGTACGTTCAGCTGCGGGGACTCGGAAGGGCCAGCTACGGCTGCTATGCATCCCTCTCCCACACCTCTCCCCCCCCCAAAGTGAGCTTCTGTGTGCTGAATCTCAGGTTATGCTAAGTTGCTAACACTAGGACCACTTCACATGCAGTCGGATTCATGGAGTCTGGCCATAACCACAGTAGGATACATGTAGGGAAGTGTTAGTGTGAGTGTGCCTGTCAGTCAGTCAGATTCTTGGAATCTGGCCATAACCACGGTCAGATACATTTAGGAAAGTGCTAGTGTGAGTGTGCTGTCAGTCGGTGTGTGCGGTCAGATACATTTAGGAAAGTGCTACTGCGAGTGCGGTGTCAGTAGGTGTGTCGGTTATGTGCAGTTGTGGTGCGGGGGGGCTACATCGCTTTGCTGAAGCGCAAGAGCATACTCACACCTAGTCTAGGACTTTCTCTGCCAATTTCCGCAGGTCGTTGCAGTCGCCCCACCTTCACCAATGTCAGCTTTGCTGTGCTGACTGTCAGGACATGCTCACACTACTACACTAGGACTTTGCTTCACTTTGCTGAAGCTTGAAAGCGAACTTGCACGAATCTGTTGTTGAATACAGACCTGTGTCCAAGATGAGTAGATCCAAAATTGAAACAGCCCTGCCTTACAATGTGTGTGTGTGTGTGTGTGTGTGTGTGTGTGTGTGTGTGTGTGTGTGTGGGTGGGTGGGTGGGTGGGTTGGGGGGGGGTGCATGGGTGTGTGTGTGCGTGTGTTGGGTGTACACAGCTAAAAAACAAAACCATGACTGTGCCATGTTTCACTGGCCTTTCAGCAACTTATCAGGTCTGCCAACTTGACTGAGGGATAAAACCACGGTGCTATTTGATCACCTTTGTAAAGCGATATCATGATGAACTAATTCACTTCAAGAAATTGTGTTGGAAATCTGTCATTCAAAACTGTGTACATGTTGGCGAGGAGTACTTCCTCTCGTTGCCTCTCTTCCACCATTCATTGCTGCTGTGGGCCTTACGTACACCCGGTACAGATACGGGGTGTCCGTATGGCCGATACAGCCCCCAGGCTATGTTTTCCGCTGGCCGCGGCCGGGTCTGGCCCAGGCCGCGGCCGGTCCGGCCGAGTTCTTTCGGCTGAGGCCTCGGCCGATCTGGTGGGCGGTTTCCGGAGCGGGGAGCGGGTTTGAGGTGGGGGGGTGGGGGGGCACCCCCTCAAAGTGACAGAGCGTCAAAAAAATAAAAATCGGGGGGGTCCTGCACGTGGCCCTGGAAGGGTGGGCCGGGAAAATTCGTGCGTCCCCCGCGTGCAGGTTCGTCAATGCGGGGTCGCAGGGAAGAGGGTCTGGAACACTAGAAAAATAAAATAAAAATATTTGACCCCTGCGGGGGCGGCCCAACGGGGGTTGGATGAGGGCTGGGTTGGGGTGGCCCGTGCGGCCAGGTCGGGTCGAAGCTGGGCGGGGCTGCAGATGGCAGACCCCAGGCAGCTCAGGGCCTTAGGCAGGCGTCGATTTCATCGTGAGGGTGATGATAGTTCGTGACATATTTTGAAACAACACATCCATGGCAATCATAGGTCAGACCCTAGTTGGCATACCAAAGTCACAACACATTCACAATCAATCACAATGCGGCCAACCATAAGTTCTAAACAATTTTAACAGGCAAGTGTGTCATAGTGTGTGTTCACTCATCAGACTTGTGGAAGTTTGTGTAAAAACACATTCATTAGCACATCATCCCTATTTGGCATCTGAAATTAACAGCACATTCATAATGGAGGCATCCATGACATGCAGGTGGTGGCATCGGAGAAGCACATAATTTGCAACAGTTTTGACAACAAACCAGAAACCACTCACTAAACAACAGCGACTCAGATGCAAAACCAAGGTTGGAAGAGGAACACAAACAAGAGCGAATAAATGACAAAGCATTTCAATGGAAATGCGTATGTACAAGGCTAAAGCCAAAAACTGGACCCGTCATCTCCACCGTACAACCGAGTAGCAAAAAAAAAAAAAAAAAAAAAAAAACCTTAATGTCCACATAATGTCGTAATCTCCATGGAACAACATCGACATAAATATGCAACAACTCTGCCGAAAGAGCGTCCAACCACGCAAAAAAAAAAAACTAATGAAAAAAAAAAAAAACACGGACGTCGTCATCTCCCTCCAGAACGCGCGTGGCCTCTCCCGGAGGACGGGTGGCCAAGCGGTCCTCCCCGGCGCCCTCCTCTCCCTCCGGCACCTGTGCCCTGTGCCCCGCTGAGGTATGCCGCTGTGCTACAACGTCTGCCGCGACCACCTGTGCCCTGCATCTGCGGACCGCAGACTCGATCGGCTCGGACTCTGTGTCTGCGTCCTCGTCCTCCGCCGCCTGGCCACCGGCGATCTCTGCCGCGAGTCGACCCTCAACCTCCGAGTGGTTGCGGTGTCGTCTCGTCCCGGGACGCATCAACAACCCCTCCTCGCCCGATGTGTACTGCTGTCCCCACAGCATGTCCGTGGTTGTCCCTGTGGCCTGGAGGACCAATGATCTCCTCGCCGCCGCTCATGACAAACCGAGCATGCGGCCTTCCATCTGCAGGCTCGGACGTCCGGACCCACCCTCCGCAGCCTGCGTCTGAACTGGCGTACGCCCCTCGAAGACGCCCCTCCCGGCGTCGTAATCCGCCCGCAACCGGTCCCCGACCCGACGATGAGCTGACCATCAGCCACCCACACCATCTCGGACTGGCGGCGGGGAACCGCCACTGTGCGCAACTCCGGGTGCCGCCGTCCGGTCCTCGGTGTTGACGCCAGGAGAGCAGGTTAACCGAGCACCCATTTTTCAGGCCCATTTATAAGAAAACCATACAGTCATTTTAACAACACTTCACACCAATCTATAGAGTGCACTTCTTACGACCCCATCACAGAAAAAAACCCTAAAAAAAGCAATTAAAAACATATAAAACAGCAAGCAAAAAGTGCATTTCCATGAAATTTGGCCAAAAAAAAACTCGACCAATTTCAGAAATTTCAAAAATCTTAACAGTGCAAATTCTAAAACTCCAAATAACCCCAAATTTCATATACGACAACCCTATCAAAATGCATATATAGCAAAAACTTGAAATTCCAAAAAAACATGAAATTTGAGCCCAAAACCCTAATTTCATAAATTTCAGGCCTGAAAACCAGATGCCCCGTTAACCTCTTGTGGACGCCAGCCTCTGGAGCCCGTGCGGGCGGTGGAGGCATCAATCCTGCACTGTCTCTGGCGCCCTCGCTGCGTCTGCCGGACCCCACCTCACCCGCTCCGGACTCCCTCCCTCTCACGTCGCTGAGCGATGAACCCGACCATCGAGGGCTCTGCACTACGAACGGCGGCGGTGAATATTCCCTTGCAGGGGGCCGCCTCTTGCCGCTCTTGCGGCCCGTGTGTGCGAAAGGGTTATCCGTCAACGCTTGCGCCAAAACGTCGGCGTCGAAGAAAGCGTGCGCTAAGTCGTCAGGGCGCAAGGGAGCTACTGTGGGGTCCCTCAACACCAAGGCGAGCCTATACGCATCATCCTCGGGACCGTGGTCGTCGTCATCATCTCCGTCCGGTTCATCGTCTCCCCCAACACCCACGGTATCCCCATCTCCACCGGGCCCACCCTCTCCCCTGCCACACACGGCGGCACCCTGTCCCTCATACCCCGCGGTCTCGCCGTCGCCACGTCCTCCACGAGGGGACCCACCGCCCACGACAACATCCTGCCCCTCATCACCCGCGGTCTCCCCGTCGTCGTGTCATCCACCACCTGACCCGTCGTCTGTCCACTGGTCGTCCATGTCGTCGTCTCCCGCATCAGCGTCCGCATCATCCCCACCCTCCGGCCACGGTCGCAGCTCCTTCGCCCTCTTGCCGAACACGTCCTGAACCGAATGGGCTCTGGACGGTCGGCTGTCATGGAAAGCGACAATCTGTCGCTGGATGTCCTGCTCGGGAACACTGACAGCAGGTCGCGCTCCCCACACCTCGGGCTCCACGTCTTCCTCCTCATCCTCGTCCTCTCCCGCCGTCCCCTCCCGACCGGTCTCCATAACCCATGGCAACACGTAGCCACCACCCTGCCGTGCGCACGAGGCCAGTTTGAGATTGGTGGCAATCTCAACCAGCTGTGCAAGCTTGGCAAACCCAAGCTTGCAGCGCCTCACCGTGTTGATGCGCTCGTGCTGCGCCCAGTTCCTCTCCGCTGGAGAGGCAGACGTCCACAAGTGCATGACACGGATGGCGATGGTGCGCAACTCAGGGTGGGCACGTCCATGGTCAAACCACCATGCCGCACAACGCTCGGTCTCGCGGTCCCCCCTGCAATCGTCCACCTCGGCATCGGAGAGGGACTGATCTCCCCAATCTCCTCGCCTCAAGTGGAAGTGCCTCATCTGGTCCCTCATGGTCCTGTACAGTCTGCCGACCATCATCCCAAGCAGGGATGTCTGGCGTGTAGTGAATCGCCGCCGGTCTGGGCCAGGAGAAATTTGTTGCACTCCTCGACCACACGGGCGTCGTCGGCGCTCGTCTGTAACGACTGGTAATACCTAAGGGACCGTCGACGGGGGTTGAGGAGGTGGGTCACGGCATGTATGGGCTCTAGCATGTGGAGGTTGCGGATGGCAACCTCACGCACACACGGCTCGATCATGTCCGCCGGCACGTCGACCCTCCTCATCAACCGCAGCACATGTTGACTCCACTCGTAAACGATGGACATTATCATCCCCCCCCTATCCATCCTGCGCAACAGCTGGTGGATGGGCCCCATGACAAGGACGGCGTACTGGACACACCGCCAAAACTCCCCGTCCCGGATCTGCTGCTGCACCCACTCCGCTTGCGAGACAAGCCTGCGCTCCCACGGGATGCGTGCCCAAGCATCCCCGTGCAACATGCTCTCCAACGCGTCTCGTCGGCCTTTGAGACACGTCAGCATCAGGAAAACCGGTTCGAACCGTGTCTCGACGGGCTCTATGAGTTGATTGCAAGGGCTCACCTTCCTAAACAGGGGGTGAGCAGCGCCATGCTATGTGACACCCGCGGCCGCGGCCGCGGGCATTTCGGCCGCTGCGGCCGAAAATCCCGGCCGCGGCCGCGGCCAACGAGGCTAGGTCCGCGGCCTGTTTTTTTAAATATTTTTTTTTACCCCTAAAAATACTAAATATATATATATATATATATGGGGGTGTAGGGCTTCAAAAACCCTACACCCCTATATTTTTTGTTTTGGAATCTGACGTTGTTTAGGATTTTAAAAAAATCAAAAACAAAAATCGATTTAAACATAATTAAAAATATATATATAAAGAAAAGCTGGATTTTTTTTTGGACATTTTTTATCATGAGATATATGGTCACTGAGTACCCTGTATTTTTTTTAGAATTGGATTTGTTTGTTTTGAAGGGAAATGAGGTGTTTTAAAAAAAACAAAGATGCAAAATTTGAAAATAAATAAACAAAAAACTTTTAAAAAGGGTTTTGATTGATTGATTGATTGATTGATTGATTGATTGATTGATTGTGAGTGAGTGAGTGAGTGAGTGAGTGAGTGAGTGAGTGAGTGAGTGAGTGAGTGTGTGTGTGTGTGTGTGTGTGTGTGTGTGTGTGTGTGTGTGTGTGTGTGTGTGTGTGTGTGTGTGTGTGTGTGT